AGGCTGTAGCGCTGTCTCTTTTACACATCTAGATGTGTATAAGAGACAGTAACCATCCTATTATTACTACACTGTTCACCAATAAAATTGTATTTTTACAGTATTTTCTCCCCTATCTTGATATTTTGGCAAAAATTACTTGTTAAAAGAAAACAAAATTTTATATTTATTTTCCTTCCCCCCCCCCCCTTTGACGATCTTTATAAAAATAAGTTCGCAAAAGAAGGTATACGAAAATTCTTGCCTAAGACAATAATGCTGTTTAATGGTTGATATCATACAGCACAGTATGCTAGTGAAAGGTCATAATTTATTCCTCCCTCGTTCAACAAATTCAGGAAAAACTTGCTAGAGTGTCAATATTGAGAGTTACAGTACTGTAAACAAGTCAATATTGAAGTTCAAAAAAGGTTCAACCATTAGACTATGTTAATGCATTACTTCTTATCATGTAAATGTGTTTATGTTAATAATAAAAGTAGTCCATCAGATAATTCATTATTAATGTAAATTAACTTTCATGATATTCAGTACTCTTAATACAGTACAGTACATAAGCATTTGTATTCCCTTTGGTTAGAATAGACTTTAATGTATATCATAAAGATATTTAAATAAAAGGACAGGATGTCGTACTGTATAATTTGTAAACACATCAAACTATACTCTTATCTAAATGGAAAATTTTGCAAGTTAATTATAACACTAAATTATAAAATTTTCAACCTACTGTAAATAACCTTAAAAAAATCAAATTCTTTGTAGTATTAGTACATGTTCACACTAATTAAATTCTCAAGCTTTACATACGTTTTCAGGCTTAGCCAATGTGCGCAAAGGAGTAACAATTGCTAGTAACAAATAAATAGTCTAAATTGTGCCTTATGCCAAACTTTATGGGTGTTGTACAGTAAGTACCTACAGTAGACATCAACATGAAATGTAAATTGTCGGGTCATGTAAAAATTGACCAGCCTGATTATCCAGTGAGGAAAGCTATATTTTGGAAAGGTATGACCTCAGCTGTACCAATCAATTTAGCCAGTGAATTTAAAGCTTAAATGTTCACTAAAAATTCAGATTTTACAATTATCAGTAATAACACTTGTGAAAAAAAATCCAGCTGGTACAGCAACAGTAGAAATGGCATTTACAAAACTTTAAGCTGACATTGAGTAATCTTTTACCACCTTTCACCTGCTTTCTGTCTAACATTCAACTTTTAAGAAAATAAACAATGAATGCATCAGACCATGAATATCTAGGAATTGTACCAAATGCTTGCTCAAGATTCACGATAGCTTTTATTGTCCATTAAAAATAACAGAAATTCATTTGAAACCAAACAGAAGTTAAAAGTGTGCACTCAACCCAATTTTAAAAATTGCCAAAACATGTAAAAATAAAAAAAAATATATAAAAACAAATACTACTAATTAAGACAAATTTAAATACACTAAACATTCAAGACAGTTGGTGTTAAAAAGTTAAAAAAGATAAAAATATTAAGGAGAAATCAGTGTTAAATTTTAAAATGACAATAACAAATTTTTTAGTACAGTATATTCTGTCCCAATTCAGACTACAGTACTCCGTAGGAAGCATGCAAACTTACATAATGGGTGAGACATTGTTTTCTCAGCCTGTTGTTGTCTCTGTGGAAGTGTATTTTCCATGAGTTTGAGCACCATACCATATCAAAAACCACTGCACTACGTCACACACTGCTCAAGCACGAAATGTACATCAAAGCACCAAGGCTGGAAAAACTGTGTGACCATGCGACCAGTGGTTAGAGGAATGTTAAGTTTGTGAATAAATGTGGTTTTGCCAGAAAAGAGAGAAAAAAATACAACAGCGGATATATACCTTTTTATCGGGCATATTTTGAAACAGCACCATCAATGTCTGAAGCCATGCAACTTTTCACTGGGGGACACCAGTGCAAGATTTTTGCCAAAATCTGTATGTTTGCTTTATGTAAACCATGACATAAACATTGAATATAAACATTTTATTTTTCTATTAATATATTTATGCTCCTTAATAATTTTTAGTTTAATCAATCCATGATAGATACATGGCCAATTTTGAGCTTTGAAAGTGCTACGTAATACTCAATTTTAGCATGAAGCAAAGTGGGGTTCTTCATGCTATATTCATATTCATTCCAAATTGACAAAAAATGGTCTATAATTTATAAATATTGATCTAAATAAAATATTTGCCCAGAATGCTTATGTCACTTTAGACTGTCAATTTGACATGCAATGCCACCATATTTTGATAATGTTAACGTGTGGCATGTGAAAAGTTTGGTAGACTTGAATTACTGGTCACTACTGCCACATGACCATTCAATCGCTTGTGCTTTTCAATTGCAGCAAAATAGCACACAGGCAACTCAGAGCAACTGGCGCTTGGTTGCAGGGCTCATGTCGTCTCAAATCACACGACTCATAGTTTCTGATAGGCCCTAGTCGGTCGCCAATTGCTCACAGTTGTTGGCAAGTTCCCAAAGAATGTTATCATTTCATTGCCAAAGAATATTATCATTTCCCCATTTTTTTTTCATGCTTGTTGTAAAATTATGCAATAAAATCAGCAAACACTAAACAGAACAATTTAAGGCAACAATATTATTATAGTAGTACACACTAGGCCTAGCCCCTAGCCTACATACATAAAAAACTAATTAATTTGTCTAGAGACCTACCTGCCTACTACTATCTGACTAGGCCTAGACATGGACTCCATGGCCAAGGTTAGATAGAAACGTTTCAGATTTCAACAGACCGACTGTAGGCCCTAGCCCTAGCCCAACTGTTATTTTACTGAGGCTAGGGACTAGGCCCTAGACACCAAGGTCAAAGACACAAATGTATATTTTTTGTTTATTTTTACTTACCTTCTCTTTGGTTTAGTCAAGGCTTTTGATACACTGTTCCTTGATGAACACAGTTCAATACTAGCCATGTTTTTGACTACTGGAAAGTTAAAAGAAAGATAAAAAGACAAAAGGCTGTAGCGTGTTCGATCACAAATAAATACCTCCTCGAACCCAAGGCCAAAGGTTCGCACGACACTCGTCGAAACTGCCAGAAACTGCTTCCTGTGGCCTAGGCTTAAAACTTCGATTTTCCGAATGTAAGTCCACCTTTGTATTGTGGTGATCTATAATCACAGTCTTAGAATATTAATAGAGTTGTAAAATACTTTTTAGCAATAAAAATCCTAAATAAGTTGGTAATAATCGATAAGTCCAATACGTAATCCCGTCACAGTATCATCCAAACTGTCTGTCTTCTTTCTTGTTGACATGAAAATATTGCACGAGACTCGAGACTTCGCGACTTTGATGAGCGAAATCGAGGCACATGCAAAACGATTGGATACCGTGTGTATGTCGGATGAATGACGTAATTAGTGAACACTTGGAAGGAAAATCTTGTATCAACTGGATCTTGATTTTGGGATACTTTGAAAAAGTCAAATTCACTAAACAACTATAGGAGAGAGGGAGCACTTCTTTTGAAAATCATAACTATCAAACACTAGGGGACAAAATTGTAAGATAGACAACGGGAAAATGTATTATTATTTATTATTTTAAACCATTATTATGTTGCACCAAGACAATTATGAATTTTTTTCTGTATAATGTCAGATGTACTGCCATGTGATGTGGGCTTTTCACTTTTCAGTGACCCCTTCCTTTAAATAACCCAATTTTACAGCGTAAGTCCTCCTGGTTGGCCCTTTAATTCTAAAGGCATAAGATTTACTCCAACTATAGTTTATCAAAATGGTCATTAAATCAGTGGTGGACCAGAAATTTCTCATTGTTGATTATAAGTCATTATATCAGAACCGAGTACTAAATAAGGTTAGGTATAAAGGAAGACGAAACTCATATACTGTCCAAGCTGTACTCACTAAACAGATCTGGTCTTAGGTTCAACACTCACCGTAACAACACAAAGTCTACATAATTCTATTATCCATTATAGTATTCATATTTTTAATTCTTATGTTCATAGAAAATAACGATATAGTATTTTCGAATATGTTTTAAAATGATGATAATAAGGATATGAAATTTTTAGATTTTCTTCTGGAATTTAACGTTTTTTTGTCTGCGTTTGCAGATGCTTTTTTTTGTTATTAATAATGAAAGATAATAAGGTTCATTCGTATTTCGTATTTCATTTACATCATATTATTATTAAATTTAATAACTGATTGATTGTAGTAATCAATGTAAGTTTAAGTTACAATGAAGGAGTATGCAGTGAAAGCTAGTTCATATTTTTTATAAATATTTATGAATGTATTTTATGAATTTTGATGTATTTTTATTCTTTTTTGTTTTCGATTTTTTATGTTTTAGTGTTTTTACGTTTTTAATATCTGATGTTTTGAATTTGTGATGTACTTTTGTATTGTACTTTTATTATGAATGTATTTTAATGTATTTTAAAGAAAGGTTGTATCAATCGAGCAAACAATTTCTTCTTTTGGAGAAAATAAAGCGATTGTGATTCTGATTAATGTTAAGTGCATCAAAGCTCTGGCATTATTATTATTAATGTACAGGTGCAAACATTAAGTTGCTTTTGAAGACAATACAGATCAAGAGAAAATAAAACAAAATTTACTAGGCACTGTGTAACATATTATTCACATTCTTTGGCATATACAACCATAGTATGAAATTGTAGGGTAAAACTGATATAGGATAGCAAGTCATGTGAAAAGATGATATTTCTGAATTAGTGACTTAAGGATAAGACTAACATCAACAACAATACTCTTCTATAAGTGAATTGAATCAAAAAGCAACTTCCATAACATTATAATTTAAATATACAATTTTCTGGGTAAGGATTTACTATAATTATATTATACTACTTTATACTACTTATAATAATTATAATGATATTGATAGTAATAGTAACAACAAATAATGAAAAATAATACCAGTAACAATGACAATAGATAATAACAATAATAATAATAATAATAGAGTAATAAATCATAATATAGTAGCAGTTGTAGTACTTTAAGAATATACACATTTTCTATAACAGCAAAATTAGCATACTATTAATTTTTTTGTTTATATTGGGAAAGGATAACAATATTTCTGAATTAGTGTACAGTAACCAAAATGTCATGTAAATAGTAAAAATTTTAAATAACTGCAATAATAAATTCTAATAAATGCCTAAGCAAAATTACTCATTATAATAATAATTTATGCAAGAATAGATGATTTAAATCTACAGGTATGTGTACAGTCATAAATATGTAAATATATATACATGATTCCAAGTATGCTTTTCTATAGATTTAAAATCAGATTTAAATCTACTGTACAATATTGAAATAGTGAATATCACTGAAAACAATTCATCAAAATTTCACCAGGTTGTTCTAAAGCCCTGTCCACACTATCAAATTTTGTTTGACAAACACATGTGACATGCCTAAATATGGACAGGATGACATCACATCATGACCATATATAGCCACATCATGACTATATATGGACAACAGTTTTTTTTTATAGCGCGGACAGAGCTTAACAAATATTGGTATTATAAAAATTTTTAATCAGATCAGATTTTTTAATCAAAATCAGATTTAAATCTACTGTACAATATTGAAATAGTGAATATCACTGAAAACATTTCATCAAAATTTCACCAGGTTGTTCTTAAGTCCTGTCCAGACTATCAAATTTTGTTTGACAAACACATGTGACATGCCTAAATATGGACAGGATGACATCACATCATGACCATATATAGCCACATCATGACTATATATGGACAACAGTTTTTTTTATAGCGCGGACAGAGCTTAACAAATATTGGTATTATAAAAATTTTTAATTATAACGTTAACGATAAAGAACACTTTAGGTCAGCGGACCATTCAGCAAATTTGAAAGCTTAACGTCTTGAAAACATAGCTGCCATGTTTTATTAATATTTCAATTATTATTCATCTATTTAATATGAAAATGATAATTGCAAATGGAGCTAGGGAATGGTGGATGATGCTTGCCTTCAAAGCCTTGACTACTTACCAAATCATATGATAACAGTGGCATATCCAGGATTTTGAAAAGGGGTGCTGAATAGAAATATTACATCTACTCAACTTAAGTCGGGTATTCAATGTGCCTGACGGTCGGATCATTCTTAATGACAATCCGATGGCTATGATTGGTTGTTAATTTTTTAAGTAATTTACAAACTAGGGATATTGATGGCTATGATTGGTTGTTAATGTTTAAAGTAATTTACAAACTAGGGATATTGATGGCTATGATTGGTTGTTAATGTTTAAAGTAATTTACAAACTAGGGATATCGATGGCTATGATTGGTTGTTAACGTTTAAGGTAATTTACAAACTAGGGATATCGATGGCTATGATTGGTTGTTAACGTATAAAGAAATTTACAAACTAGGGATATCGATGGCTATGACTACACCATTGGTTGTTAACGTCTAAAGTAATTTACTTGGCCTATGTATTGCCATTAATTTACTATTATTTTTTCATGTTTCTGAACAAAAAGGGCAGATTTGTAGCTGTAGAAAACTAAGGGTGGACGATAGACATTTGAGGGTGGGTAGGTGATAACATCAATAAACTCTAAATAATAAGAATGGATTTTAAGGATTTAAAAGTTGGTTAATAAGGGTGGGTGGAGGGACATTAGCCAAATTAGCTTTAGACTGGGTGGAAAACTTCAAGGCTGGGTGGCCCCTGCCCACCTCCGCCCACCATAACTACATACCCGTAAACAACAATTTGTTTATGGGGATCTACCTCTAGATAATCAAGAGTCAGCCAGGTTTCCTAATGCTTCCCCCCACCCCAGGAAAGCTGAATACCGGGCAGGTTTCAGCTTTGAGACAATGAGCAATCTGGCATTTAATGCTTTATATATAAAGTGATACAAATGGGCAAATAGTGTTCAAATTTATTGTGATGCAATACCTTATCTTAACGAGAGAGCAAACTGCTCAATAGCTAGCTGATTAAAATTTGATGACACATGTTTAAGCTTGTGTCTGCTCAAACACAGCCTGCAGCCATGGAATCCAACATCAGCATTGATCCCTGATGAGGCTATAAATATAATTATCCACGAGCACATACAATGATGTTTAATCCTTGTCTCCTTAAATTGATAGCATGGTATGGGACTAAAATCATCAACATTTAAGAAAATATGAGACTTAACCAAGTACATCAAGAAAAAATAAATTAAACAAGATAGGTTTCAATTTCATATTTATATTTCTTGACTTTCCTTTCTTTTCTCAATTATTATTCATCTATTTAATATGAAAATGATAATTGCAAATGGAGCTAGGGAATGGTGGATGATGCATGCAGTGGCATATCCAGGATTTTGAAAAGGGGTGCTGAATAGAAATATTACATCTACTCAACTTTAAGTCGGGTATTCAATGTGCCTGACGGTCGGATCATTCTTAATGACAATCCGATGGCTATGATTGGTTGTTAATTTTTAAAGTAATTTACAAACTAGGGATATTGATGGCTATGATTGGTTGTTAATGTTTAAAGTAATTTACAAACTAGGGATATTGATGGCTATAATTGGTTGTTAATGTTTAAAGTAATTTACAAACTAGGGATATCGATGGCTATGATTGGTTGTTAACGTTTAAGTAATTTAAAAACTAGGGATATCGATGGCTATGATTGGTTGTTAACGTATAAAGAAATTTACAAACTAGGGATATCGATGGCTATGACTACACCATTGGTTGTTAACGTCTAAAGTAATTTACTTGGCCTATGTATTGCCATTAATTTACTATTATTTTTTCATGTTTCTGAACAAAAAGGGCAGATTTGTAGCTGTAGAAAACTAAGGGTGGACGATAGACATTTGAGGGTGGGTAGGGGATAACATCAATAAACTCTAAATAATAAGAATGGATTTTAAGGATTTAAAAGTTGGTTAATAAGGGTGGGTGGAGGGCCATGAAATTAGCTTTAGCCAGGGTAGAAAACATCAAGCCTGGGTGGCCCCGTCCACCATAACTATATCCCTGAAAAGGGGAGTGCTCAAGCACATTAAAAATGTACATAAATATTTTAATTACATCATTTTGCTAATAACCAAATATATGGATTAAAATGGTATTAATATAACATATAAACAAGAATAATGTGTAAGCTATGACACTGAACAACTATGGTACATCACTACCAAACACTCCACTGTATAACTATAAATAAATGAAGGTATTATCAAGTATGTTCTTACATGAACAACTAGCAAAGAAATGCACCAACCAGAAAACTAATTAATGAATGGTAAAAAAGTAGTACATTTACAATATACAGTTTGAATACCGACAAGGACTAATTCATCATTCATGAAACATAGGATACATTAAATGTAATAGCATATGAATATCTATAAATATATAATAGAAGAGCTTTAAATATTCAATAAGTAGCATGGCGATAAAAGCTTATCAATATTTACAAAGGTATGTTTTTAAACAAATTTGAATAATTCATTATAAACCTCAAAAATATAATAAAACATTGATAAGTAAAAAATATAATATTTATACAGAAAACACAGAGAAAATATAAATGTTTATAGTAAAGAGAAAATAACTTCATGAACAAAATATAGTTTTGAATACCTGTACTGTAAAGCCCTTTATTTTCGCAATTTCACAATTTTAAATACTTCGCTGCCTTTTGAAGACAAAAGTTTCATTCAGAATTTTACGATTTTCGTGCCCTTAATTTTCTCGATCGTTGTTTTATCGCGAAAATTAAGGGCACACGAAAACAAAGGGATTTAAAGTATTCCTACATGAAAATAAATAAAGCAATTAGAACAGTAAACAGAGACGTGGGGCGGATACAGGTGGAGCAGATGGTTCGATTGTACACTCCCTAATTGTATTAAGAAAAATAATTGTTATTGTATTGTTGATATCTTATTTTTATCATTGAATAAAAATATAGCAAGATTTTAAAAGTATGAGAGTACAATTTCCAGGCACCTTGAGGTTTGTATTCTAAAAATGTTCTCATCTCAGCCCCAACGATGGTGGGCCTGAGGCTCAGCCCCAACAATGGTGGGCCTGAGGCTCAGCCCCAACAATGGTGGGCCTGAGGTGGTGTGGATTTTCATGCACCCTCTACCACCAAATCCTGCATCTGCCCCAGGAGACAAGAAAAATTAAAAAAAACATTATGAAAAATAACAGAAAAATAAATAATGAATATTCATACAGTATAACTAGTGAATATTCATATAGTCAAAAGAAAAATAACTTGTGAATGATGCAGTCAAGATAGACAACTGTAACTCATGAATAACAATAGCGATCTTTTGATTTGCGCGACGCCACAACGCTAGAACTGAATCACTCATGCGTGACCGCACTACATTCGCTGCACAACATAGATTTGGCCAAATTGTGTCATACAATCCAGGCGACGAGAACTGATGACTTCTGAGTGACGTCACTACATTCTACGTCCTACCGTCGTCGTGCAATCAAAAGCTCCCTAACAACAATAAGCAGTGCGCTAATTCTTAATCCAAGAGAGCACTCATAGCACACACTTAACAGTAGTACATAAAACTGTTAAGTTTATAAATGTTTATGACAATTACTATCAATTAGATGTGTTGAAAATATAAATAGGCATATTCTAAATTAATTATTCACTAATGACGATATAAATGTACAATTAAAACAAATATTTACCCAATGTTGAATTTCTACAAACCACTGGATATATTTAAATCTATATTCCCTTACAAAAAAAAAACTACCATAGAAATGCATTAAAATAAGTTCTTTACTTTCAGTTACAAGATACTTACACCAAGGTCATATTTTAGCAGCATATCTACAAGTTAGAATGGGGAAACATTTACAAAAATAGATGAAACATGTTAAAAAACAAACACACACATACCAAGTTCAAAAATACATAGTACTAAATAATTACATTTCAGCAAAGGAAACATGTTATTTCTTTTCTTTCTATTTTTTAATAAAAGTGTATTATATTATTAAAAAATGCATTAAATGCATTTTCCCCTGCTTTTATACTGATTAAAGGGGAGTTCAGAGTTCATAACTTTCCTTATGTATCAATGTAAAAACCATTGCTATGACCTTACTGAGTATTGAAAAGCAACCGTGCATTTTAATGCTTCACAAGCACATGGGTCCCAAGTTGAAAGAACCCATTTCCGAGAGATTCGTTTAATGACATTAGGGGCGCTATATATTCTATGAGGAAAAAGTGTAGGTACCAAACAAAGGGCCACGCACACCTAAGGCCCACCATGAGGTGATGACATTTTTTTTTAGAATAGGCACCTTTAGAAGCCCGGAAATGGCACTGTCAGACTGCAAAAAATAATCAGCAACCAAAGTTTAGGCCTAAATATCACAAAAAGATTTTTTTTTTTTACCGAATTTGCGAGAGATAAGTGAATTTGCAGGAGATTTTTGCTGTTTGCGGGAGTTCGGGAGACAATACCGATTTGCGGGAGACTCCCGGTAGTTCTGGGAGACTAAAGACCCCTGCAAGCATTTTTATCATAAATTCACATGCAAGATTGTCAGTAAAAAAGAAAATCCACAATGTTGTCCAACCTTATCTCCAGCAAAAAAAAAACATTCTATGGGCATGCATTTTGAAGTGCAGGGTTTGTCTGAAAGGAAAATTTACATTTTATATGCATTTTCAAGTTTGTGTCCATGATGAAAGCCACGCTGATCGCCTGCGCCTCGTCTGAGCACGCTCAGAACTATAGGTAGGTAAACAATTGACTGTGGTATAACAATGGACTATAATCAATATTCAGCCTACTGGAAACCAAATGACCATCAGTAGGGTAATCCTGACATTTCATGTACAATATCCGACCCTGTATTGTTTTCTTTTCTTTGTAATTGAATGTAATGATCTTGTTTGTATTATGTTTTGAAGGTATCGAATTGACCCAATAAACTTAACAATCAAGACTGCTTTTAGCAATCCACCCAATGCCATAAGAAAATATGTAGTATAACTATGTTATATACTGAATATATTAGAAGCAATACATCAGCCATTGCTCTATAGTGTTCATGTATTGAGCTGATGTGTTAAAGGATTTAGTAATGCAATCTGTAACAATACAATGATTCCCTGAACCTCAATGCTATTGTGAAAATATTATAATTACAATAGAATTTTTTAAAATAATTTGGCTGCTCTAATTCATTGACACTTTACACACAGCACTTACAATCACTGATATGTTTTGTATATAAATTGAATATTTTACAAATAAAATAATTGTTTGAGGAAAAAAACACTTTTCAAAGGTTGTTAATAAAGTCAAGGTAACAGTACACTGTTTCCCCCCACTTGCATTTAGACTTAATTTAGACATTTGTTGCGTATAAGAACAGTATGGTAAATTAAAATACCAGAAAATACCATAGCTCTATAAATCCATATTATAGTCCACAAACAAAATGGGAGGGTTTGAGCCAAAATTTACAGGCCTTCCATACTTTTTCCCAGAATAAATGATACCCACTTTCATTTTCCCACCAATGAGCTAGTCACACATCATTTATTAGCAGTTTTGCTTTCTGATTAAATTACTGCTTTCATTAGAGAACCTCATCTTTCTACTGAAAGCAAAACTCAGAACATGTCAACAATTTTAAAGTTACACTATTGTTATTTTCATTGAAGAGAATAAAATAAATTTGTTTATCTGCACCTTCAATTTTGACTGGAGGTCTCTGAAGGAGAAAAAACAGCAATAGGTTTAGCTTGTAACACTGAAGGAGGGCAAAATCATAGCACAATAGGTGATAATAAACACACTATATACAAGAAATACAAATTTTTTTTCCATTAAAATATTCACTAAACCCCTTTCTTCTTGAACATAATGAAGGCAAGTACAATTTAGGTTAAAATTGATTTGTTACACACACAAGTTACACATCGGTACATGCATTAGTATCACGTCTACTGTGGGCTGGCTTGTTACTCAGCTTTTTCCTACGTGAGAAGTGTCCATCACCCAGTTCTGGTTCTTGCAGCAGCATTTGATTGACAGATGGTGCTGTTGCTATGGTGATGTCAGGACTGGATGGGATTGCTATATCTGGCATGATGTCACTAAGCATGGGTACAACCTGGGCCGCAGCTGCAACCTGGAAAAAGTGATAAGAAATAATCCTATGTATGATGTCACCAAATGTAAACCAGTGGGGAAGGAGAGGGAGTGGGGAGAAGATCGAGATAGAAGTAATTCTATGTTACAATAGAAGTATGCATATTATTGTGACAAGGGGTACAGATATATCATATAAAGTAAAAATAAAGCATGCTTGTATTGTGGTACTTGTGTTACTTAGTATCTATCTACTGTAGCTCCTTTTTAGTGTGTGATGCAATATTGGGGCAGTAGCAGGCAATCCCACCTGGCACCCACATACAGGTGTATGTGGGTGGAGAGAAGCAACACGGATAGAGTGCCCTGCTCCAGGACAGGATTTTTATCTTTAAAATTCTTATATTGAATACTTTTTGCAAGTTTATATACTGTGTTGTGCTTAGTTTTGTGAATGTTGTTTGTCTTTGCTTACTTTTGTTAGATTGACACAATTCAGATCATACTGCAATGTCAATTTGTTTTTAATAATAAACCAGAATGAATGAATGAATGACACAAGTGAAGTGCACAGCAATGGATTGAAGCCCAAAACCTCGAGATTGGGAAACCAAACTGTTCCAGTTGCGCCAAATTGTTTTGTATAGTCCATATGTTTTTTTCTAGTTCTTTTCCACAAAACATATCTAAATCTATTGTGCAATTACACTTACTGTTGCAATCATAATGACTGTTCAAAGGGTTTGTGGTAGAAGGGGATTAAATGTATGATCTTGACGATTTTGGAATTGAACTTATAAAACAAACAAAAAACATCGAGAGACCCACAGGAGCAAATTCTTTAAAAAAAAACCCTACCGAATAATAAAGGATTTTAAATAACAAGCCATTGTTGTTGATGTGGCAATGAAGAGGGTCACCACAGGTCATTAGAATCTAAGTCATCCTGTTATTTAAAAGCATAATAGAGAAGTGGAGTTGAATAGCTTGGTAGTTAAGAGGCTTGCCTTCTAATCCCAGGTGATGGGTTCCTATCACAACAGGACTTTTTCTAACAACGATGCATTCTAAGAAACCAAAGGTCGTGAGTTCGAATTGCATCTTGGTATTCAATTTTTTCTTCTTTTTTTTTTCAATTTCAAGACCTTTTATTTTTTTTTATTTTGATAATTATGAACCCTGGCTAAAAACCCAATTACGCCACTGTGTACGAAAGTATAATACATACTCCAAGTATTGAAATACACGCCATCGTGTTGGGATTCAATATTTCGACATTAATTATGTCATCATCATTCCTGATGATGACATAATTAATGTCGAAATATTGAATCCCAACACGATGGCGTGTATTTCAATACTTGGAGTATGTATTATACTTTCCCACTGTGTACTGTATTTAAGCATAGAGGATATTTCCTCCATGGTTTAAGCATGCTTTATTAGTATCAACAAAAAGCCTCCTCTGAAAGGTGCATACACTAAGCGTTAAACGCTAAATAGAGGTAACCTCAGTTTAACGCACAGGCTGGTGAGTGGTCGCTCGTTAGAATAAAACTAAATTATAATTATAAACAAGAATCCTAAAGAAAATTTTTTTTTAAAGATGAAAATATAATCACTGAAAATATTATATATACCTCGGGTGGGTCCGGCGTAGCACTAACAGTACCATCTTGCATATCATGCTGAACATCCCAAACTCTTCCAAACATATCATCCTCGGCCTCTCCACTTTGATCTTCCCCATAATGCTCCGGTACGCTATGGAAAATCTCAACTGCTTCATCGGGCAGTCCAAACTCGCGGACTACCCTGGTATGAATCTCCCGGGAAACAGCTGCGCTGTCTGTATGTACAAGAGCATATGCTCGCTGGGTGAGGTTGCACCGTCGCAGTTCTTTTTCTCGTTGTAACATTGCAGCTATCGTGGAATCATCAGGTACTGGGAGAAAAATACAATTTAAAAATATGATATATTTGTATCACTAAATATTCTTTTCTTTTTTATTACTATTAATTCCTTTACATCCATCCAATAGGAAGTACACATGGCACTTACAGGATGGAATGATGCTTTATAAACCTCTTTTTGAGGCTTAGGGAGTGGAGTTGTCTTCGGTCATGAGAAAAAGACCTGCTGTGACAGGAATTGAACCCAGGACACTGGGATCAGAAGACAAGTATCTTAAACACAAAGCTACTAAACTCCACACCAAGAACAATGAAGTTTCCGGAAGCTTCTGGAAAACCTTCCGGAAAACCTCCCGGAAAAAACAATAATCTCCCATACTTCACGATTGGATTGGAAGTCACCAGCAAATAAACAGCTTCCGATTCTTAATTATTTAACTTGTAATTTGCATAGACAAAACCTTGTATTTTTTCCCAATGCTTTAAAGGCTTCAAAGACTTTCATGCTAAAAAACAAAATAATGTTTTTTGTAAATTGCCCATTACTACTATTATGTCTTTACAGCAATAATTAAAAAGTTATTTTTATAGCAGAATTCAATTTTACTTTTATATTTTAGTACCCTCTTCTTAGGATCTTTTAAGTTCGATAAACAAGGTTAAAATTGATATACTATTATTGTACATTGTAATCTGCTTCACAGAGAGCATAGACCATGCTTGCTGAACAACACAACATCATACTTGAAAAGGTCAATTATAATGTGAATTAGGTCAAGGTAACGCAGCCACCGCATGTCAATCAAAAGTCAAGTACAAACATTAAGGCCAAATAAAAAATAAATAGTTTCTCAGTACCTATCTCATCCCCTCTTGTCAAACACCAAAAGGAGAAACCTGGTTTTATTCACATTTGGCCTAATCTGTTTTATCAAATATTCACTGGTTCATAATCTAACAATAGAGGAAGAAAGGAGAAACATCGGCTTATCTTGACAGGATATTCAATCATGTGCTACTCTCGGTTGATGAACTCTGGATGTGAATGTTAATCCGAGACTAACGCAATAAACACGGATGTGGTAAATACCAAAGGATTGGTACTTAAACATTCAGAAGAGACAAAAAGCTGACTGGTAAAGACTGATTTGTGTGTTTACCAGTCACCCCTGCCCTGGACAACATTAACGGTCTTTATGCAAATGCTTTGCAGAGAGTTGCAAGTAGGAGGTGAATGATAGAGGGCAGCAGACTGCAGTGCAGACTAGTCAAGTAGTAGTCTTTCAATTACTACTTAGGTACTGGACGCATTACTAGATTAGAATTTTTGAAAATTAATACAACTGGAAGCTCTCAGTGCATAAAATTGTCCAAGGCCTGCAGATCCAAAGGCAACTTTATCATGCACTAATGGTTCATGAGTGCAATAATTTCCAAATAGAGCACGGAAAGTTGCTACTCTAAATTACACTTTAATAATAGTAGCAGTAATAATTAGAGGAGTGATGTTTTACCCTACCTGATGTGTTAACATACTGAATGCTCAGTTCATTCCAAAATACTTGCGATAACAATCTAGCAAGTAATCGAGTGGAAAACAAACCCACCTCCTAATAACTAGTCTGGTGTCTGAACTACTAGACCACCAAGCTTGCACTTTAATAATAATGATTATTATTATTATTATTCTTTCTTTAGGCACACAACACATGTGCCAAGGATTGCCAATAGTGAATATATACCACTGTCCTACTTGTAGGTGACAATCCCTTACACAAGACAAACATTCACACACGATGCTTTACACAAACTAAATCTCAATATGAGATTTAGGGAGTGGAGTTGTTTATGTCGTGAGAAAAAATCCTGCAACTGGCAGGAATTGAACCCAGGACCCTGGGATTGGAAGGCAAGCATCTTAACCACCAAGAATAATATTATACATGCATATTAAGTCAATTTATGCTCACCTGGTAAGTTACTCGCAGCAATTGCTGGTGGGTAGGATGAGCACTGCCCTCGCTGGCTAGCTGAGTACTTAGTATCATCTAACATGTATAGCGTATCTGGGACATGTGACATGCGAATCATACGTAGACGAACCAGCTCCATTTCTGCTGCCATCTGTTCTTCCAGCATGGCCTACAGAAAAAAACATAATTTTCATCCAAAATAAACAATGACTACAGGATACAAAATACAATTTATTTTATCTTGAATTTAATATTTATTTCTACCAGTTATTAAGAGAGAAGAAAAATAAATGTTGTAATGAAAGACAGCACGGTGTTGGGTACTGTAGTTTACCTTTGCCTCTTCCATGTACGGACTGAACAGCCGAGGTCTCGGATACCGGCGTCTTGATTTACCTTTCACCCAGTAGTTCACCGATGATGCTTCTTCCCCGTCAACCATATGTGACGGAAGCATTGGGATCAATCCTCGCTTGATGGCACTGTTTAGAATATCATGATTACGTGGAATGATGTGCTGCACTCGTACGTATGGTATAATGTCACTGAGAATTTCCCGCAGTTCCATATTGTCCAAGTCACGCCGTTTAATACCTTTGCGACTTAAGCTGTGCTGAGTGTTGCTAACAACATTTGGCTCTGGGAATATGGAATTGAATTGCTTTAATTTTTTAAAAATACATCATACACATTAAACAGTGAGCGGCTTGGCACATACAGTAGCGGACCAAGGAAACTGAAATAGATAGGGCATAGGAAGAACTTCACAGTTAGAAAGTCTAGACTACCTCAGCCCTGCCATAGTTGGGGCTAAGGTAAGAAATTTTATGGCTATACTTTTCTGCAAATTTTGTTCAAGCCAAAATTTAGAAACAAAAGGCCAGTAGCGACCATTTTTTGAATCAAATTGTAATCAGTTATGTGATGCACTATAAACTTAACAGGCAGAGGAAGTGGCATTGTTTTCAGCTGTGCAAACAATCCTAGAATTCAAAATTTGAGACCCTGGATTGAAACCAAAGCTACTATTTTTATAGTACTATAAAATTAATCAATTCTATACAAACATTACCTCGTTCTTCCATCTTCTTGACAAGTTGCTGTTCTCCCCATTTGACCACAGCTTTGAGTACCTCAAGCTCACTTGCCTGTCACAAAAATAACATTATTAACAATATTCAAATAACAACAATATTAAATAAACATTAATAAAATTTATAACAACAACAACAGTAAAAGATAACTATATATTCTGGTATTACAATCATCGGTAAATGTTGAATCTCTGGTGAAAGTAATATTGAGAGTAAATAAACCCCACAAGGATAACTTAAACTTACATGATCAAGATCATTGAAAACAAAAGAGGAAACACTCATGAAGCAATGACTGCTACATGTTTATATATGTATCATAAATTTATTAATTCTGCAATATAAATAAGAAAAATCAGAGAGAAAATGGTACTATCAAACCATGTTACGTGTAAAAAAAACCCCCTGTGACTAACCTGTAGGAAGTCAGACTTGAGTGCTGTTAGTAAGTCTCCCTTCGTAATGTCACACAGCGTCGGAGAAGCCATGACAGCCAGAAACTCTTCCTTCAGGTAATGCATGGCCTGACGATGGACCCAACTTGAGCCGTGTGGCAGAGAGCTCCAACTCAGAATAGCAATTATATTCTCCGTATTTATACTCTCTGCGATCACATCTTCACAAGCTGTATCATTATAAGATAAAAATATGTAAATTGTATATTGTTTAAGCAACCGGGTTAACTGAGTTCTTAGAATATCGTAGGGGCAGGCCTGGAAAAGATATTTTTGTGCCTCCAACAATGAAAATTATCTTGATCAAATGCCTCCAGGGCCAAATGTTATCTTTACATTATTATAGCGAAACAGTAGTAGATTTATTGGTTTGGAGCAAGCAAAAATATTAAATTTAATTATGCGTTAAAAAAAAAAATTTCTAAAATGCCTCCAGGTTGAAGGTCAATGCCTCAGACAGCCGGTCACACACTTTTTCCAAACCTGCACAGGGGTCCCAAGTCACTTCAGAGAGCTTTCTTAACGCATGTAACTTCATTTTGCTGTGTATGGTAATACAGTAGCCATCGGAACTGACTTCTGTGAGACAATTGATATTAAAGCAGTGAATACATGCAAATATTATGAATGTGGGAGATAGGTTATTTTGCTGGAGATTCTTGCTTGCTTTTGGGAGTGGAGGAAGCCGTCCTAATTTCGAGTTGTGGGAGAATTGGGAGCCCTGATATCATGCTGTATACTGTATAATATGAGATATCAGGAGCAGAAACAACAGTATGACTTTTGTTTTGTCAAATAAATCTTAAGGATTTGACAAAATAAAAATGCTTGGTTACTTATTGTTGACCACATCTTTCAACTACTGCACACTATAAATAATAAAATTTGCGACTGTAAATAATTATTAATTGGAATACTATAGCGCACATCGGAATATTGTTAGAAGAATCTACTGTAAATGTAAGCCTTTGTTCACAAAAGATTTTATTTAGAACAAATTCTGTGATAAAAATTTTGATTTGTTTGCACATTGTGTTGTGAGGTGATGCTGCTGCCGCCAATCATAACTTTGAAGTATTCTTAAAATAATTCTATGAAATCTTAAATTAATTTCCGTTATTAAAAGTCTATATCTGTTGATAGTAATGGTAATAAATGCTTTGAAATATTCTTAAAATAATTCTATGAAATCATAACACATTTATTTCCTTTAAAAGTCAATATCCCTTGATAATAATGGCAACAAAAGCTTTGAAGTGCTCATTCTTAAAATATTTCTATGAAATCATAACATTAACACATTTATTTCCTCTAAAAGTCCATATCCCTTGAGAATAATGGCCAAAATAAAATAAAATATATAATAGAAACTTTACTGTTAAAAATTTATTTTATTTGCTACAGTACAAGAGCATAACAATGCACATTATCCTGTATAGTTACTGACACATTAAAGATTCAAACAGCCAGGCCAATAAAAACCATAAGCCTATAAATCAAACAAAAGCAACAAATATAATTGTTAAAATCATAAAACACTGTTTTTTTATCTCTTCCAAATTGTTTTGATGAGTCATCCAACTATTATTAGAGGTACAATTTAGCTTAAAGGGTCAGGCTTTAATTACTATCTATACAGTAGGTCAAATTTAAAGGGACAGGCTTTAATTACACTCAATAGGTCAAACTTGGGACAGTCTTTAATTACTCTAGGTAAAATTTTTTAAATATGAATCTAACGATCCAGTATCTAGATGGATGACACTAAATAAAAAAATCTTATTTTACATATTTCCATGCAATAATGTATTAATATTTTTTATTCTATATTTTTATATTGCTATATTTTAACCATCTTGTAAGTGGCGATATATCGCTGTTGGTGTGGCAATAAATAAAATAAAGTGACATCACAGGCAAAAGCAGGAGGGAGAGCAGAGGATATTAATATTACAATCCATAGATCATCGGCAGGTTTGTCAGTGGATTAGGTTATACAGTAGTTGTGAAGATGAAGTCTTTTTTTTATTTTGTGTGTGTTCATTTTATCTACTAATGGAGTGAATCAAGCCCTGACATAATCAATATTCCACCACAATTAGTCATACACACAAAAAAAAAAAAATTAAAAATAATTATATTATAATAAATTAATTATTTAACTTGCATCATTAATTATTGAGCATGAGTACTATAAAAAGTATTTATTTATTATGTTAAACCCCACCTCACTGTACTGTACCTTAGAAAAATAGAACATGGTGTAAATATTTGTGACTGCAACTTTGAAGTTATTACAAACTTCTGATTGGTTACAGATAAATCATCAACTTTGTTTTATCTTGTGTCCCATATTTCATCACTATAAGATCTAGATTTCAAGTGAACTATGTTATAAATATTGACGATTTAAACTATTGTTATAGAGACAAGCGTGAGTGAAAAGGGGTTGGGGCAAGTATGGTATTACTATTAAGACCAGTCGTTTTAATAACTTTTGACTTTCTAAAAATACTCTTGAAACCTTAAATTTATAGATTTTAATTTCTGTGAGATTTGTTGTTGGTTTGTGAAATAAAAAGTATGAAGGAAATGAGAAAAATTGGTTGTTACTATATGTTATTATTTTCTTAAGTTCGGTCCACACTTATGTTTTCCAAAGTAGCAAATACTACAGGTGATTTTCTGATACTGTACAGTGATATATTATCATGCAAATCAAGCAAATTTGTCACATAAACATGTGTGAACACAGCTTAATAAACAAGCCAATATTCAAAATCTGGTTTTTAAGCTCTGTCTACACTATCAAATTTTATGTGACAAATAAATTTACTGTAATATGCCCATATTTGGACGTTATATGACATCATCAATCACATATATGGCCACATCAGACACACTTGTCATATAAAATTTGATAGTGTGGACAAAGCTCTAAAGAGTACTTACCTTGTGCCATAGATGTCATGTCCAGGAACTGTGCAATTTGATAACACTCCATGGCTTGATCAATTCGTGAAATTGGTTTTCTCCCTAGAACCATAGCTTGGGCCTCACCTAGACTGCTACTCTCAAGGTAGTCATCTTTTATCAATGACAAGTCCAATGTGTCTAAATAGATTGCATTTAGCAATACATGGGCATATTTTTTTGGTATCACATTAGCATCGAGTACTATCTTCGTCTTTTTCGGTAGTTCGTTTTCTCTCCTCTCCTCCGATTCCCGCTGTTTTCGTTGCAACAGGTTGCGAAAGAATGGTGACCTTGCGGATAAGATCGCCTTGTGACATAGGAATGTGTTTCTGGTGGATCTACTGGGACAAATGGGCATGTTTCGTTCACTTTGTTTGGAGTGGGAATCTGATGCAAATACGACAACAGCATCTGCGAATTCACCAGTGTCTAGTAAGTACTTAAGATCTTGCTCTAAAATATTAGGTGTACCAAATTTATCTCCTAGTTGAATTAACACATCAAGGTTTTCTAATCGTGGATTGTGGGTGTCAATTTCTCCCGTATACAAATACTTCAATAAAACCGAGAACATGGTGACGCTGACACCGGGTAACTGTTTAATTGGAATGCTGCTACAGTATTCTGGATATTTGCTAAAAACGTCCCGAAAATAACGACACCGTACCGATAAAATTGCTCTGTGAACTGGAAACACGGTCCCAAGGAATACCAAATCCACATCAGCACAGTGCTGACAATCGTAGAGACGAGCTAAATTCTGACTCAGAGGGAGTGTCTTTGGCCTAGCAAGTGTTGTCTGGATTGACATTTGTTTCAAAATTGCTAGTGATTCATACTCATCTACAAGAGCTTTAACGTCCCGTATGTTCCAAGAGGATAACACGTCTTTGATAGCACGTGCATAGTCAAGCGATTTTGAGTGCCGTTTTTTCCCGACAAGCTTTTTCTTTATTGTTGATAAACTTGGTGTTTTCTTTTTCTTTTCCTTCTCAACTTTCACTGGCATAGTGGCATGCCTTGGTTCAAGGACCTCATCCCCGCGCACAGAACAATCCCTAGGAAACAAGGTTGCACTTTGTTCACGGTCGACATTTACACCCATGTCAAAGTTCACTGACCTGTGCTTGGACTTCTCTCGACCTTCACCAGGTAAGGCAGTCATATTGTTCCCCATCACAGAACTTCGGATGGAATTCAAAGATAGAAAAAATACATCCTACTTGCAAACTTACATAATGATGTGTAAATAAAACAAATATTCATATTGATAAGACAATCAGCAAAAATGTCAGGCAAGTAGACTGAAATAAGTACACAACCTTTTTTTTTCCTCACAAAATCTACCTCTGTACTAGTAGTTTACGTCAGACTACTAACATAAACTTGTTTACAAATTAATCATCTGGAGTCAAGCATTGGTAGCTTTCTGCATATGGTGTCAATTTCCTTGAATTTTCTTTTTTTTCAAATTGCGGATTGATCAGTTTTATCCTAGAAAATAAGAAAATACAACAAAAATATTATAGTTTTTGATGATTCACAAGAATTGTAAGCATGTTGAGAAACTCACCTGGTTAGTAAACTACTTTTAAGCATGTGCAATTTAATAACACAACTCATTGTTTAAAATGGAGCAATGACAGCTTGGTACATTGCATCGCCTAATCCCACAGTCCTTGGTTTAATGACATCAAATATAAGGGAAAGGCCAAAAATAATGTATTTTTGAGAGCAAATTTATCTGAGGGGTTTAAAACAGAATTATCTCATATAAATGCCCCTTCACTTCACTGGAATTGTAGACCACAACACAAAATTATTGCCAAAGGTGTTATTGTATGACCATTTAATCATTCAAGGTTGCAATAACTTTGACTTGAGTAAAATATTGGTAGCAGAAAGGTCTTGATAATACAGTAGTATTGCTTCAATTAGTTTTGGTCAGTCATTTGGGAGAGCTTATTCAAGGTGAAGAAAATGAAGTCCAGAATGTTATTTAAAAAAAAACTAAATCCTTTCCGAGCTACTGGGGCTCATAGGGCTGGAGCTTATCCCCAGTTTCTGTAGTGTGAGGCGGATGAGAGTTATACTCTCCCAGGACAGGACAGTAGTCCGTTGCAGGTTAGTCCCCAGCAGTTTGTTGGTACCCATTGATACAGCTGGGTGGACTGAAGCAATGTACAGCTAAAGTGCCTTGCCCAAGGACACAAGCGAATCTGCACAGCAGAGACTCAAAACATTGACCTTATGATTGAAAGCCCAACATCAACCGCTGCGCCAAACTGCCGCCATGAATGTTATTCAAAGTAGTTGTTTACTCCAAATGAGATTCTACAATAGTGGAGGCATATACTCAAAGAAAGGCATCTATTTGAATACTACAGTTTGGTCTAACAAATGTTTTGTTCACCTTCTTTGTCATCCTAACAAATCACAGGGTGGCTCTTTCTTTATTTGATACTATATTAAGCAAAATACGTAACAATATACTACAGCATTTAAGCAAAAGACATGCCTAACCACTATACTAGCTAGTAGAATTAAATCTACTGTAGTGTATAGTAACTGCAGAAATTGAGACATGCCTAACCAAATCAATCTACCAATTCTTTAACAAATAACTTAACCAAAACCAAACCTACCACAGAACCAAAGATATTTTATTAACTAAATAAACCTACTAATACCAGCAAAAAATTATGATGATGAGATTAAGCTAAATTCAAAAACCAAATGAATAAATTCATGTTAACATAATTAACATTCAAAGATACTGTGTTATGGCATTTAACCAAACCTAACCAGAAAACAGAAAGACAAACAGAATATTAAGCTCAAAAGAAAAACATAAAAACATACTGTATACAAATAACTAATACAAACATACACAGGTAAGAGAGGTTCTTGATTTTACTAGTGGGCAATGGGTATGCTTGAATTTGTTATTGTATCTTATGTTACCTCTGTACTGTACAGTACAGTACTCGAGTGGGCAATTAAGGCATTTCAAAGCACTACATAGGTCTCTAGTACATTCATCAACTTCTGGATCCACTAGAATTCAGGAACTATTGACGAATATTAACATCATCACAGCTAACGTTAATGGTTTTTGACACAAAGGGCCTTTTACATGACAAACAACAGATAGAGGATGCAATCATTTTTACATAGAGAAATAGGTTTTTGGTTGAGTAAGTTTAATAAATAATGACAAGCAGTAGACAAAAGGCATAGGCATCACCGGCCTGATGACCATGGCTAAGAACAGAAGAAAAACCAAAACCAAAGTTATCATACTGTAGTCATACAGTACTTCCTTGAAAAGATTTGAGGCGAAATAAAATGATGTAGTTTCTAGTCTGGAAGGGGGAAAATTATTGTAGTTTCTCTGGTATATGTCTTGAACATAAAAATGGGCCATTTTTTTTGGGGGGGGGGAGGTGGGAGGGAAGGGGTGAGGTAGGAGCGAAGAGGTGGGGCTTACATCTGGGCAATCCTCTGTTCAATCCAATGGCAATTTTCAGCACTGCATGCCTAATTAAAGGCCAAATTTTGTTGTTGTTGTAAATGTCAGCACTTTATATTCAAATCTTACCCTGGGCTTTTGGCAGAGGAAAAGGCTGGTACAGTAAAAGGGGACAGGCTTACAGTACACACCCAGTTGGTTTACTGTATGCCCCAGAAACGATGCTAAATTTGGGCCAGTATTTTCTTTTTAGATCAAATATGGTGACACAAAATCTGACCTATGGCACAGAAGTTGAAGTAGAATATAGAAACCATAATTTTTTTTTTCAATCAATTGTGTTGTCAGAGAGGACAACACAAAGTGCCAGGCTTAAGGCCTGTTTACACTATGACGAGAATGTCATAGTATATACGGTTCATATAGGAAATAAAAGAAATAAGAAGTTTTCACACTAGCACGAAATTTGATAACGATTTATCGTGTCCACAATAAAAACCATAATTTCACAAATCAAAAAAAATGATGTCATAATCATGGGAAAACAATTTTATAATTTTTAGAAACATCTTTACATTTACAGAAGCATAGTTCAAAACAGTGTGCTATTCAATCATTTGCACACATGCACAGGACATCTTCGTCCAAATGAACTTGGCATCAGTGAAAATTAGGAAATAATAACCATTTGAGGAAATACTGTAATAGGGCTATTATTATAAAAAGGGAACTGCAGGGAAAGTCCTATATAGTTTAAAGGGTTTATATAATCCCATGTAAAGCTGGTGGTGTGTTTGTGTGTACCAATTACTTTGTGATATACTGTATGTATTCTTTAAATCATCCAACAAAAGGCCTTAATCTTCATTGTATAGGCACCCAAAGCAAAATTCATTTTTGCATTTGCTACTGAAGATATAAAAATTAGCTATTAGGAACTCATCATTTGCACTGTGTAGTAGGGTTGCCAATTCCTTATCCATACTGGCTTATAACCCCTATCCCCCCGCCCAACTCACAAGCCAGTCTATTTCAACCAGATACTTAATTACCTTAGCCATCTTGTCAGAAAAGAAGCACTGCAAACATTATTGGAAGGGAAGATGGAAAAAGTAGACCAAGGACTATGTGGATGGATAACATCAAGGAATGGTGTGGGGTGAGGTATTGGTAATGTGTAAGGCCGGCACAGTGCAGAGGAGAATGGGAATCCATGGTAACCAACATGCTTCGAGCAGGACACTCGACAGGTAACAGGTAATTTATGTACACCTGAGTAAATTGAGAAATTCCCTCAACTGGGAATTGAGTGCAGGTCATTAAATCATCAGCATGGTAGGAAAGTGTCCTAACCACTCAACAACCACAACTTACTGATACAGATAGTTGTTATCCATATCAAATTGCCAATATGATTGTCACTCTCAAAGGAGTTTGGATTGTGTTTTTGTTTAATTTATATAAGTAAATTACACAATTTATGCCGGTTTTTAGGCAAGACTTTTTTATACTGTACCCTGGATAGCAAACCTGCCGCCCGCCAATAATGATTTTAAATAAAAATAAAATTTTATTTGTGGCCAATTAACGCACCCGCTGCCACAAAAAAAAAAGGAAATTTGAGGAAAAATCTTTTTCTTTAGTTTTATTTACACCCTGTTATACCTTCCTAATTATATAAATTTAAAGCATTTAACCATCCCATACTACACTGTTAACATTCAACAATAAATTTGTTTTATTTCCTCTTCCGGCAGGATGCTTTTTGCTAAACTGTTTGCTAAATAAGAAAACAAAATTTTATTCTTATTTTTTTTTTTCACCTTTCTCTGTAAAAAATAAGTTTGCGAAACAAGGTACAAAAAAAGTCTTGTCTCACCTTAAAAAGTTGGATTGTTGAGATCCCAAAATAATGGTTGTTTTAACTTTAAAAAACTTTGCTGCAATTTCATCAACACAGAGATAGAACACATCATGTGTGTACTTAACAAATGTGCACTGCAATTCTCTTATTTAACAAAGGCAATCAGCAAAAAAAATCCAAGAATCTACTCTAAGCATCAGCATAACCAAGTTGCATATTTAAAATAAGGTCATATTTCAGTTTCTACAGTATGCATTTAAAAAAAATACTTTTCACTTTCTAAAGTGAATTTCTGAAAATTGTTCACCAATCAGTTGTTTTCTAGGGTCACATGCAAAATTTCCATCACAACTTTAACATGCACCAAAATAAGAAGACAAGGATTTAATCTAACAAATTAGCAGAACCAAAAATATATTTCAAAATATGTTTTATACAGTACATACAAATAAAAAAAACTCTTCAAAATATGTTCTCCCGTACAGTAGACTGTATGAACACGTACTGTATATCTCAAAATCAATACATGCATACTGTACTGTACTTTGAAATGTAACAACATGATATTGCTATATTTTTTTCTTCTACGATTATTTAACTGTATCAGTACTGTATGACTGACATCAAAAGAACGATGTCATTTGCTAATTGCATGCGTGCCATCTAAAACATGATTTATTAAATGATCATAAATTTATTCACATATATTATATTGATAATTTAAGTGAACGTACTCAGTTATGTCTATTTTGGATCCCAAGTGTATAATATACAAGAAATGGACATTAAATATGACAAACAAATCTATATTTAATATACTCATTATCATATAGACACTAGAAATATTATAGCTAGGTATTCAAAGCATACATCTGTAGTGCATTGTTATACAGTAGATAGGAGCTTCACTGATATACTTTACTTAATATTTCATTAAAAATAATTAATTATAATTAATTATTATTATTAGTTATTATTTATATTTCCAAAAAAATATTTTATCAGGGTTCATTGCTTCAAAACCTTCTTCATGCCAAAGATAATTAAATTAATACAAATCCATTTGTATTTTATCATACAGATAAACATATGCAACGAGTGATGGGCCCGTCGGACGGTACAGGGTTGTGGTACAGTAATTGCATTAATACCAATGCT